CTCGCTCTTCCGTTTCTGTTTCAGGCACCTACTGTTTATTGAGACATGAGCATTGTTTAGATTTAAAGTAAAAAACATTATTGTTGACTCCCCCCAGGTCTGGCACTTTCCAGCAAGATGGCAAAGGCAGTGAAGTGACAGCTAAGAATTTCCTGTGTTCTTCCACTTCTTTCCTTCCTAAGACATCACCAGTATAACTCAAATTTCACCCTAAGAAACCAAAAGCGTGAATGTTTCCTGTTTGTCATTAGAACTGAAAGCCTTGTTTGAGTTTATTTTACAAATTGGCTGCACAGCTGTTACTTGACACATTGGTATAAGTTCCCTTCACAATTACCTATTTTGCACATCACCTTTTCATACCTTGATAAGCTAAGAAATACAACCACATTGTCCATTCCTAAAATTATTCAGAGAACTTCTAATCTAAGCAGAACATTGGATTAGACTCAATCATGACATCATTGAGGCTATCTCTCTATACATTGCCTATCCACTCGGCATTAAGACTTGCTAAAGTCATTCTAATTCAAAGTATAAATGCTGGGGGGAGTGATGGAGGGGACAGGGAAAGGGTTCTACTTTAACTGCTTTAAAATATACACGGGAGCCAGCCCTGATGGCCTAGTGGTTAAAGTTCTGCGCACTCTGCTTCGGCGGCCCGGGCCTGGTTCCCGGGTGCAGAACCACACCACCTGTCTTGACAGTAGCCATGCTGTGGCGGGGGCTCACACAGAAGAAATAGAAGGACTTACAACTAGAAAACACAACTAGGTACTGGGTCTTTGGGGAGGGAAGAGAAAAAAAAGAGGAAGGTTGGTAACAGATGTTAGCTTAGGGCGAATCCTTCCCAGCAAAAAAGATATAAAATCCATATATCCCATTGGAACTTTTTCAAATTGTCTAAGTTCTATTTGTCAGCATATTAATGTATGGGGCCTAGTGAATGTATTCAACCATTCTAATCAATATGAAGGAAAAATACTTTACTTTCAAGGAAAGGGAAGGCCAGGATGAGGAAGACTAACTAATTTACCCAATGTAGACATAATACACATCATTAAAGAAGTATTAGGGAGAGGAAACACAAGAGAGCAGTCACATTTGTACTGGACCTGTCCGTGTGCACTGTGATTTGGGGTCTTCAACGAAGACCTGATATTTGAATTACCTCATAATTAGCACATCTTGGTGGACCAGAAAACTAAGTATCAAAATGCATAAGCAGAAGGAAGACAATGGCAGGTACATACTAACGAGGATTACATATGGCCGAGAGGAAGAAAAGTATTAACCAGACAATGACAAATCAACGCCAATTTTGAGGATTTAAGATAGCTAACCCCAAGCTGTTTGTTTTGTTTTAATGTGCCACTGCAGACATTCAGAGGTCCCTTAATCAGACAAATTCAGCATTTCCAGGATACCACCAAAGAATGCAAAAACGAAGACAAAGATGAAGGCAAAAAGCTCTCTGGTCACCAAAAACTAAAGCTGAAGCTCATAACTCATAGCAGAGCATCCTAGTCCCAAATTAGACACCCATTTCCTCTTATCTCAGAGTCATTTCTGACTAGCATGTTTGTTGGTGTCTCTAGTTCAACATAAGAAATCATAATGCGGAATTAGGGCTGGAAAGTGACAACGTAGAGAGGAACAATCAGAAGTGAGGGAGGAGACAAGAAAGTATAAAACATGAAGATAAAAGGCCCAGCGCTCTGAGATCCTTCAAAGTACAAAGGTACTGTGACACCTCAGCAATCAACCAAGGCGTCACCGCCATATACCCTGCCATCACGTGCCCTAAGTCACTAAGGGAAGATAAACTATACTGTTATTTTACAAAGGCAAATAAGCGTACCATAGATGACTTCTTAAAGAATTCCATCAAAAACAGTTGTTTTTTTTTGTTTTACTTTTTACACATAAATGGACTGGTCAAAAATTCACTTGTGAGAAACCAGGCTAGAAAAGGTTTTACTAGGAATAGTCTGATGACAGGGAACTCGCTGACTTTTACTCACAGAATTGTCACTGACCTAACTCACAGTGGGAGGAAATACACTGATTTTTCCCCCAATAGATCTGTTGTGATCTGATTCATGGCTACTTGCCCAGGCCCCACTGACCATGGCCTAGGCATGCAGCCAGCACTATTGAACACAACAGTCCTGAAGCGAGCTGGTAATCCGGCCACCCTTTCCTTCCCAACCAGGCTATGGAAAGAAAACAGCAAAACTAGGAATGGCTGTAGACTGGACTCGGGATGGGTGTGACCCTTGAAGTCAGAGCAAGGCCCTTTGGACAAGGCAACACTTTTAAAATCACTTCAGGTTAATGGAAGTTCTGTTTTTAAATAATTTTTCTTGGTTCAGTTCTTAAGATGTTTGGAAGACGACACAAAGATAAAATCAATACATTCTAATTTTTGGTTTCAACAGCTATTTTTCCACTATAGAACTCAATATTTTAATGTCTTTCTATAACATTATTTCAGTTTAAAATACTCAGAATTACTTTGTCAGTGATAATTCCTAGTTATTTTAGAGTCAAATCATTTTTAATTTCACATCCATGAACTAAATATTTTCCAAAGCTCACATTTCCCTTCAATTTATTCCTTCATTCAACGAATATTTACTGAGTATTTACTCTGCTAGGAACTGGGTTGGAACCCAGGGATTCAACAGGGAACATAACATAGTCCATGCCTATTGAGCTTAGTACATTTGGGGAATGAAACTGAATTAAATGCCATCTAGTTTCTCAGTGCCTAACTTAGAGATAGTTCTAGACACTCTAGGGATGTCAAAAAAAAAAAAAAAGGTCTGGATTTATGATTTCATGTGACAAAAAACTGGTGAATATGAACATGTTACACATTTGAAGTATACACTCTCGAATTTATTCAGTACATTTACCTACATATCAAATTATCAGATGTCCAAAGGTTTAAAATCTACTTTTATTCTCTGATGCTTTTCCTCCCTATGAGCTCATCAAAGACCACAGTAAAATTTTAGAGTTTAACTTTCTCATCTTTTAGGGAAAGAGGAAAAACATAAATTTTAGTAGTGAGATTATCTCGAGATCCTTTTTTTCTTCAGTACAAAAATTATGAAGAAAACACTGCAACCTAGCACTATCTACCCAAGCATAGGCTAACCAATTCTGATGTTCAAGGGATCCTAAGGCATTTCCTCTCCTCTTTAAAATGTGATTTCTGAGACAAGGCTTTGTGCCTACTGAAAATTCTGCCACATCAAGCATGTGGACTACAAGTTTAGGAAAATGTAAGTAAAAAGTATCATATATATATATATATATATATATCCTTGAGCCACTTACCAATAGTAGTTTACTACTCAGTCCAATTAAATATACTAAAATAAGTATGTTTTATCTTAGAGAAAAAAATGTGAGTGGAAAATAAAAGGTTCAAGGAATTAGGTTTTTTCCAAAACACTGAAGTACTAACTATGCCACCTTAGTTTTTAAATGAAACAGTAACCCAAAAAAGTCACACTAGTAATTATTTGTATCATAGTTTTTATCTGTGGACCACTTGAATAAAATTTTCAAGTTAATAGTATGATTTTCATTCTAATTTACCTGAAAACACCACAGTTGGGTTTACTTATAGATTTTATCCTCCCGCATCATTTTATGGGGGAGTAAACTCTAAAGAAACTTTAGCTCACAGCATCAACTGTTTCCTTTGTAAGTTTTGAGCCTCTTAGCAGCTCTGTAAGAGTAACTGCTTAATAAATCTGTTTGCTAAAAGTAAATAGGAGTTACATTTCCACCTCTTCAACTGCCCAAGTCTTCAGTTAATCAGGATTGCTACTGCTAACACACAAAACTGGTATGGCAGCAGAGAATAAATACTGAGCATGAGGGAGTGACCAATACTACACTTCTTCAAAACAATAAGCCACAGAAAGAGGATGGGAAAGACATAAACCTTCTAGGAAGACAACTGAAAAAAACTGTTATTGAGTAATACAATCTTAGGATCCATCTCATTTTATTTAAACACATCACCCTTGAGAATCTAAATCAAGGACTTGGGATCCTAATTTGAAAAGCAAACAGAACACAGAGGAACCTGTTTTTTCAAAACATTAATGGGCTTATAGAATGCCTGTTAGGAACTTGTACGTAATTAGTCTATTCATTTCTTGTGTTAATTTTAAGCATCCCCAAATTTTAATTAAACAGCTCTAAATCAAGTGGAGAAAAGGGAAGGAATCACATTTAGCCAGGTAACTCAAGAGAATTTTTCTTCCCAAGTTACATAACTTGTGAGGCCACGAAGCAAACCTTATCTTACCTAAAACACCAGAGATGCACGATTAGTTAACAAAACTTTTGACAAATTTTCTTTCCTTGATAACCAATGGCATCCTTCCAAAAATGCAGTTAAGCAATGAACTCAAGCTCAGTGGTGTCTATAACCATGACATCTAAATCAACTGAAAAGTAAAAAAACCAAACTAGCTGTTTCTACTCTGTAATAAACAACACTCAGCATTACAAATACAGGTACAATTCTCAACTAAATCTGATAACACATATTAAAATTAATAAATTCCCAGGAAGCCAGACTGGATGAAAATTAGGGCATTGGTTACTCTTTAAAACATTAAAATCTGTTCTGCGAGTGAGTGGAACACAAAACTATGATATTTAATTAGACATTGTGTTAGTTAACACAATACTTGTACTTCCCTGTTCATTAGCCAATGGTTACATCTGTAATTTTAGATAGCAATTATAATTAGAAATAATGAGAGCAATTTCCTGAGTTACTCCTTTAAATTATATTTCATTGAGACTTATCTTTTGAAATTACTAATTATCCTATCCTGTTCATGTGAGAACTTAAGAAACCTCTCTCGTAATTGTGACATCTTCTCACATAAAAGATTGTATACATGTAAGAAACGTTCCTACAGACGTCACTTTATATTTTAAAAACCACTTTAGCCAAAAAGACGTAAAAGTAAAATTATGCATTTTATTCATTCATTCCATCAGCTGAGAATTGCTCTATTGTACAAATACAATATTGTACAAAAAAAATCACAAAATGTTACAAAATAAAAAAGTACAAACTGCATTACTTAATAAATATGACTAAAAGTAGTTAAAGTGGAAATGAGATATTTTCAATTGGGAACACTGTTTGACCCAGCAAACCATACAAGCTCTGTTTACAGACGTTTTTATTTGTACATAATACAGGGCAATCCTACTCTGCCTTCTGAAAGAATTTAAAAGGAACAAAATATTAAGACAGTATCCTCCTGCTATAAAATAACTGCCAAGGTTGGTTCCAGGCATTTACGCTATTAATTTTTAAATCTCTTAGTTGAATCCAAGATGCTATACAAAGCAGGCGGCTTATCTTGTCACAAAGTCTTAGACCATGTTAAAATTCATTTATAACAAAATGACAAATATAAATAAAAACAATTCAAAGCACCAGACAATCTACTCTAAACATCAACCAGAGTACAGAATAATCACTCTGCTATCAGCAAATATCAGACTTTCATTCAAGTAAGAGCTGGTACTATTATGCCTTAAAGAAAAAAAAGAACTCTTTCCACAACCTTCCCTTAAGTATTTCTCTTTAAAACGTTGACCATTTCTAGAAAAATAATGATTTCCAAAACAAATCTGTTTGTTTCATCAAAATGGAATGGGCCTATCATCTGGTAACACGAGTGCATCAATATCCATTTGAAGTAATTACCTAAGAACTGCAAAATTCAAATTCAACAACATAAAATAACTACTAAATTCACAAACTCTGTTCAAAATAATAAACTTCATATAAAGCACTTCTCTGGATTTATGCCGGAAAGCTGTTTGTCAAAATGGAACACATCATAGGTGAAGGTACACCAATTTTTAAAAATGTTGTGCAAAAATACATTTTTATAGAAAATAGATTACCAGGAATGAACAAATTTACACTATGAGAAATCAGCTTGCAACTTATGTAGTGCCAACTTTATACAGCAAATTATAAATAGCAATAACATCACCCAAAGCTATCATGAAACATCATTTAGGTGCCCAGCAACCTTCAGCTCTGAGAAAACATTCAAAAAAACGATTAAGGCATTACACCTACAGTAAATCTACTAGGAAGTTTAAAAGTGCTATTACCCTGATTCGAGTTCATAGAATTCTCCAAACACAAATTACGTATGCAATTCTCCCAGGGTGTAGGTTTTCAGACACTTCACGAGCATGCATTTTGTTCGATATACATTTTGGATAGGGATATGGCCATGGACTTCGCAAGTTCTTCATCGCGTTTTCTTTGCACTTGAGTCTGCTTGCACCAACTGTCGTACTCTGGATTGGGAAAGGAGTGATCGAACACCGCATCATAATGTCCATTACTGAGCCAACTCAGCCAAATACTAGGCCTTAGGGAATCCTCCGGGCCCAAATAGTGAATCATGGTCGACACCGTGGGGCTCTCCAACCTCCCTCCAGTCGTTAAGTGGATATTCACATTCAGCATCTGCCCCATGGCCAGCAATTCCGGGTACCCGGCCCAGGCCCCGTCCTGAGCAGCAGCGATGATGAACTCGCCCACGTCGCCCTCAATCAGGGGGCTGAAGTGGTCGAGGTGGTCGGCGATGTAGTGCACCGTCTGCTCCCGCAGCTCGCGGTGCAGGCTCTGGTCCCCGTACACCGTCTTGCTGACCGCCCGGTAGAGGCAGTTGCCGTCGGGGATGATGTGGAAGCGGTACTTGTTCCGCTGGCGCAGGTACTTGTCCTGCCTCTCCACCTCCGCCAGGTACAGGGCCAGTTTCTCGTCTCTGGGATCCGACCTGGCCACGACCACCGCCTCGGCCGCGCCGCTCGGGGCGGCCTCCGCGCTCCGGGCCGGGGGCGCCTCGGCCTCGGGGTC